ATGAAATTTTTGGCACAATCGCAAAATGACGAAACTATTCGTCAATTCAAAAATAATTTCGTCAAGCATCTATAATATGAACCTTACGTAGCTATTATATATTTATCTTTTTCACTGTTTCTTCGCCTCAAATAGAACATTACCTAGTATTAGAGTATGCAGAGCTTGGTGATTTACGTTATTATTTGAATCATAGTAATTTAGATTGGGACAAAAAGGTTGACATTGCAAGACAGGTTGTTTGCGGCCTATTTTTTTTGCATGAAAATGAAATTTTACATCGTGATTTAGTAGGTTACATATTTTCTTAATAGCTAATTAATATTATAATCTGGCATTAATTAAGAAATTAATTTTATATCAGCATACAAAAAATGTGGTTATTAAAAATGATGAAAGTGATGAAAGTGATGAAAGTTTCAAGTATGGTATTAGAGTTACTATTACAGACTTCGGGCTTTCAAAGGTTATTCCTCGTAATAGTACATCAAATCAGTTGATAGGTGGTGTCATACCATTTATAGACCCTAAAATCTTGAATAATAAGGAGCTAAAACCTGATCGTAGATCTGATATATATAGCCTTGGAGTAATTTTGTGGGAAATTACAAGCAATGGCCGACCGCCGTTCCAAAAACATCCCAGAGAGTTTTCACTTGATCTATTTTCAATTGAATTAATAAGAGGAGAACGGGAAAAACCAATAGCTGGCTCCAAAGCATCTTATGTTGGGCTTTATACAGATTGTTGGAATGGGAATCCTGATTTTCGGCCAGATATTAAAAAGGTGTACGAATTAATCCATGAAGACGACATCATATCAGGTGACGAATGGCAGCAGCCAATAGAATTACAACAGAATGAATTGAATGAATCTGTATACGATGAAGACAACGATATTGATATAACATATGATGAAAACCTGATTCAAACAGAATTGCCACAAATTCTTATTTCTGAAACCGGTGAGAATTATTTATAGTAATACGTCCCTAATTTGTTTTTTTTTATACAGCTTTTAAAAATAAATCTATCACACTTTATAGAATCTAGTGAGGTATGTTCTTTCGCTTTAGAAAAAACGCCTAGCAATTCTTTGATTCCGGATCTAATCATTCTTATCAATCTTCAAATCTTCAAGAGTATGCATGATAATTTAGTAGATAAACGTAAGTTGAACAGACAAGACGAACAGCTAGATGAACAACTAATAGATAGTCGAAATAGACAGAGGGAAGATGACCGAGATAAACAGAGGGAAGATGAAAGCAATAGCGATCAAGTTATTAATGAGATGCTTGAGAAGTTTAAACAACTTATGCTCGAACAATTTTCTTCCAAAGAACTTGAAATGATGAAACGACTTTCTACTAACAAACCTGGTCAGTATTTTAAGAAATATTACTATATTTTAGTGTCAACTAATTATTTTGACGAATGTTAATTTATATAGATGAAATTATTAATGTAGTTCAATCTGTTGCTCATCGGAAAAAAAATGAAAAATGTAAAATGAACAATAATTAAAAGAATTTATAATTTGACAATAGCTTAACATAAAATCATAAGATGATGCTTATTATTATTATTTCAGCGTCATCCATGTCACTATAAATGTAATGTCTGGTCCAAAAAAAAATGAGATTTGCTGGTTTTATTACTTACTAATAATAAAAACACGACAGGTTGAAACCCGCGTCAATGGTATTCTGAAAATTTTTCAAAAAATAATTTGAGCTAAATTATAATTTCAGACTAAATCAAGTTAATACAGGTGGTTACTTCATTGATACACACCACTACCTACCTAATCAATTGTAGATTTGCCTCAAAAAAGTAATCTAAAGAACATGAATTTCACTCTTTTCATATCCATGCTGATAATAAAAATCACCAAAACACAATTCCAAAAAAATCGGTCAGCCTTATAACTAATTTTGTCGGGATTATGTAGTTTTTGAAAATCGCTTTGAGAACTTGAGTTAAAAACAAAAAGATTATTAAAAAGACCGATATTTTAACTAATTCCGACGCAAGTTTAATCTTAGTTTCTTATGACATTTTCTTAGACCAACTTTAGATCTACACTAGCATGCAATTGATTAATGATTTTCTAGCGCTAGAATTAGACGTAAATCAATTTTGTATGATAGAGACAAAGAGATTTTTGGTTATAACCTATTTTTAGCTCTAACTAAAAAAACTAATACATATTTATATCCTTTTCAAATTCTAATTCCAAAGTCTAGGAAAAACGGAAGATGATAACTTCATAACCGATTAATTCGCAGACACTTCATTCCTTTGACAATTAATTTAAAGGCATGTATATTTTACAGCAATTAATTCACATGCAAGTTTATTCCATAGATAGCTTGTTTAATTAACTACTTATTTATTGATAACTTGTTTTGTCAACCACTTATTTTACCAACATAACTATTAACCCTTAACTGTAAATTTATTTATGAATCTATTGCAATTTAGACTACAATTTAATATATTTTGATGGCTTGATTATAGATCAATCTTGAAATTTTTGAGAAAATTTGTTTGCAAAAGGGTATTTCTTAATTTGTAAGATTTTTTATAAGCAAATTTGTCTGAAAAATTATTATAAATATGCTTATAACTTATTTTTTAATGGATAGAATTTAAGTTTTTGTACTAAATTTAGACATTTTTTAAAAATTAATTTAAAATCTAAAAAATTAAAAAGCTTAATTTTTTATATATCAAATTGACAATATTTAGCAAAATTTATTTTTATATTATAATAAAAATTTTTTGTATTAAGCAATTTTTTTAGTTTTTAATATATTAAATTAAATATACTTTTAAAAGTTAATTATAGTTTTAATTTATTAATTTTATAAACTAAAAATTTAATTATATAAAATATTTTAAAAATAATATAATATACTAATTTATATTTAAATATAAAAAATAATATGTTTTATTTTTATGCATACTTGAAGTAGATTTTTAATATGATTCTTGTAAAATTCTTTGGTTTTTTGTAGATTTTGAATAGCTTTATTAGTTTTTTGTACATTTTTCTGTTTTTTGTTTGGTATTTTTGTATTTATTACTATTTTGTTTTAGATATTCTTCTAAAAACTTTTATTTTGTATTATTTTTTAGTAGTTTTCTTTAACATAATATTATTCTCTAGTGTATTCTTTTTTAATATTTTCTACTTTTTTTTTTATTGGTGTTTTTATACATATTACTATTTTTGTTTTAAGCTTTGTAGAATTTTTAGTTTTAATACGTATCCTATAAATATAAAGTTCAAATAATATAATTTCTTTATTATAATTTATAAAGAAGTTCAATTAAATTTTAATAAAGATAAAGACATAGTATTACTTTTAAAGATTAAAAAAATAATATTGTAGCTATAAAGAACTGTTAAACTTAATATATATCAAAATAAATAAGCAAAAATTTATATACAAAAATAAAAGCTTAAACTATTTATTTATAATCTAAATCTACAAGTTAATAACTATCACAAATTAAAATGAAAGCTGATCAAATGAACCTGGAGACCTTTCATGCCTATCCTTAGAGTCTATAAAATCTACATATACTTTAATGTTAAAAAAACCCAAAAAATGGCCTCCAAAAATTTTTAAATTTTCTTTAAAAAACAGAAAAATTTCATTTTAATTAGATTTCATTTTAATCAGTGACAATAACTATATTAATAATTGGTTATTAACTAGTAATTATAATATTATAATTAATAATATGCAAGTCATGTAAAAAATAATTATAGTATAATATAAATATAAAATTACTATAGATGAAAATGTAGGATGCATTTAAAAAAAACTTTTTTGTACTAAGTTAATTATTCTTTTACTTTAAGAGTAAGTTATAAAGCTCATTAAAATACAATAGTAGTTAAATTATCTAAATTAGTCTAATTGAAACTAAGATATTATAAAAAAGTTTTTACTAATTATATAAATTCTATATAAATAATATAAAATTTTATATAGTTAACAAAGTTTTTAACAATATTTTGACATTTACTAGACCAATTTAAATAATCTAATCACTGTTAAATACTTTTTAATAAGTTCTACAACTTACTTTTAATATAAAAAATAATTGATTTAATATTAAAAAGTTTTTTAAATATATGCTGCTTTCCGTCTATAGCAATTTTTATATATAAGAGAATGTGGTGACTTAGTGTAGTCGGCAAGTTGTCACACCTCCAAGCAGCAGAACAAGAGTTTGAATCCTACTAATAACAAAATTCAAATTTAAGGAATATGTTATGTAGACTGTGTATAATCTGATGGATCATTAGATCTGTAGCTTTGGTCATACTAGCTTATACTGGAAGAATATAGAACTATAGTGTGATGCAAGAGTATACAAAATCTGAGTGAAATGTTTGCATAAATTCAAGGGCTAGGACACACAGAATTCTGCTTAGCAAGTTCTGAGTAGAGAGATAGCACAGCTCTTTGATAGTACTATATAAAGGATAATTATCAGTAATCAAACACTAGCAGTAAACTGGACAAGGACCAGAAGTTTGACAAGACACTAATATCAACCAGGCTGCTTATATACAGGGGTGGCCCCATATAAACAAGGAAAAAGAATTTAATCAGAATACCAGGAGGCCACTTACTGGTCCCTCTCCAGGCTATCTGGATTGAGAGTTTGAAGCACTATTAGTGAAAAAAAGTTGGTGTTAGTCTATAAAGTATATACTGAGGTTTGAGTAAACTTTGCAAGAGCAAGAAGTAAGTAATACTGCAAGTACTTGGTTATGACCTAGGTGTAAGTTACTGAAAATCTAGATGATATATATATGAGATATAGACTGCTCTAATAAGTTTATCATAAAGATAAAGTAGTCCTAAAGGGTCTTAGTGGCAGTTTCTCTTTGGGAAGAATATCTGACAGCACTAAGTTGATCAGAAGATTTAATTAGGTAATTCAAATAATAGTGGGTTATAGAGCATGTACTTTTTTTTTTTTTTTTTTTTTTTTTTTTTTTTTTTTTTTTAATCTTCAAAGGTGTGGCCATGCC